CACCTTCAATGAATGGCCTATTTTAAAACTGTTTTCATATATAGGGCGCACCGCATTATGCATGGCAGAAAATGAGTTGTATCTTTCAAGGCAACCGCCGCTTTTTGACTGCAGCCATTGAAGACTGGTAATTGTGCTACATTTGGTCTGAAAGCCAAGCTATGCTGTTGCCAATGCAGTTGTAAATGGTTAAAGGGCTGTCACATTTATAGCGCTTCGCTACTCAAAGCGCTTCACGCTGTTAGCTCATTCACCTACAGGTGACGCAGCAAACGTGTTACTTGACACGGCAAAACTGTTTTGTCATCGGCGACAGACGGCGGCAAGTGTTGCGGCATGTGACGAAAAGGAACGGCTCCCGTGTTGCTTACATTTTGATTACCGGATTTCTTTAGAACAGAACAGTGTCCGTCTGAGGGAGAGAAAAACAAAAACAACATAGTTGAAAGTCACATGATGATGATTGGGCAAAAAGAAAATCTCAAGAAATATGAGGTGGAAATACGTACCTATCATACAAACAAAATATTCATCGAGTAAATTATTTAACGAGATGTTAACATCTTTATGCTCCTCGAGAGTCCAGATAAAAAGTCTCATTTCATGCGGCGGATTTTCCGCACTATAAGGCACTTCGGATTATAAGTCACACCTTCAATGAACGGCCTATTTTAAAACTGTTTTCATATATAGGGCGCACCGCACCGCATTATGCATGGCAGAAAATGAGTTGCGTCTTTCAAGGCAACCGCCGCTTTTTGACTGCAGTCATTGAAGACTGGTAATTGTGCTACATTTGGTCTGAAAGCCAAGCTATGCTGTTGCCAATGCAGTTGGTAAATGGTTAAAGGGCTGTCACTTGTATAGCGCTTCTCTACTCAAAGCGCTTCACGCTGTTAGCTCATTCACCTACAGGTGACGCAGCACCAGGAGCAACTGCGGTTTCAGTATCTATCTCAAGGACACTTCAACAGGGTTGCAATGGCCGGGGATCAAACAATCAACCTCCAGGTTGGGAAACGACCAATCTACCACTGAGCCATGCCACCCCCAGTTGTGATTTTGTACGTTTTTACTAGGGGTGGGAATCTATTGACACCTCAAGACTTGACTCCATTTTGATTTCGGGGTCTACATTTCACTTCCAATCAATTCCAGATTATTGATGCATTTCGAGACCCAATATTGAATTTGTGCATTTTCTTCCCGATACGTTTCTTTCTGACAGTTTTGACTATTTACGACCACTGAAACAGTATTTGTAATTCCACTGACAAACCCCAATTTGAATTAAATTGAGATGTTGCGGAAGTGTAAATTAAAAACAGAATACAATGATTTGCATATGCTTTTCGACTTGTATTCAACTGTATGCACTACAAAGACAAACTTTTTAAACTGCTGACTGTTGACATGGGTCTACAGTCCCTTAGCCAATCGGGATGCAAAACACAAAGCACTGTTAAAAAGAAGAAAGAAAAAAAACATTAAAAAAACTGCATTAAAAAAATACGGGAAACAGCCAAATAGTGAGGGTTCAATGTACACTGTACCGGTTTTTCGTGTACTTTTTTTTTTTTTTTTTTACAGTGCATTATTTTTCTCATTAATTTAGGAGATAATTACACTAAATGATACAACAGAAGAGTAATACATAAAATACCATTCTTCGACAGTCAAGCAGCGAGTAATAATCATTTTAGGGGATGATATCTGTCGGAGAGCAACAGAGTGCAAGCCGTCAAAATGACGGTTCTGGCGTGTCTAGGTCCATTCAAAATCCTGGTATGCATCGTGTTAAATGACAATACATTATACATCTGGCCAATTGAAAAATATATTCCCGCTAATCTCAGACATGTGGTGAGTGTATATGGTATCACATAAGCGAAAGTTATTGCTGTACCCGTGCTCGTTGCAGAATTGCCCTGCCCATCATCTGAATATTGATATGGCGTTTGCAGGGGTTCTTCAGATCCTGGAAAGTACTGCAAGCAGACATCAGAGGCAAGAGTAAGTACAGGATAACATTTTTACTTCATATCAATATTCATATCAATCCCACATTCTTGTACGGCCACTGGAGCGAGATGTTGGCATGAAGCTCGTCCAGTTTGTTGACCAGACGTTGGCGAGCAGGATAGAAGGTAACGGAGGGCTTTTGAATCTCTGGCCAAGGTATTTCTGCCTCAAGCCTCGCCTCCTCCCCCGCTTTCTCTTCTTCTGGGCAGGCCCTTTGCCGACTCCAATGCATTGGCCCGGTAATATGTCGATCCACTTTTGTGAAACTGCTGGTACTGGATATTACCCATCCCGTAGGAGTAATAAATCCCCTTGACTGTGTATCACCAACATGGATTGTCTCAACCGCAAGTGTCAGTGCCACACTGAAGCATATTATCAGTAGCAACTCCTACACTTATGTCATCTTCCCGCCCCATCCACAGAATAGGTTCACTTCCGCCTCCAACTTCCTGCGCTTCTGTGACGTAAGCGCATTACGTGCGCTTCCAGTTATGCTTTTCGATGTGTCTCTCTGAGGCGCAAAACATGAATAGGGACTTGCAAATTGCAATGCGAACCAGCTTATCCAGGCCTTGGAATATAAATTGTCAAATCTATACATTAGAATAATTTTACTTTATTCACAACACTGCTACCTGAGAACCTGAAAAGACAAACTTTGGAAAATGTATGAAAACTTTGTAACAGAGCGGCCCGGTGTCCAGTGGTGAGCGCGTCGACCTCACATTGCAGAGGTCGTGGGTTCGATCCCGGCTCTGGCCTTCCTGTGTGGAGTTTGCATGTTCTCCCTGGGCCTGCGTGGGTTTTCTCCGGGTACTCCGGTTTCCTCCCACATTCCAAAAACATGCATGGCAGGCTGATTGAACACTCTAAATCAGGGGTGTCAAAGTCAAATGGACGGAGGGCCAGACAAAAAATTTTGCTGCAAGCCGAGGGCCGGACTGATCGAATGTTCATTGAAAATTTTAAAAATGACCACATATTGTTTATTGAACCAAATTTAATTGACTGAAAACCTAACAAATACATTCCAATATGGTCAGATAAATAAAGCAACATTTTTTTATGGCTACGTCAGTAAACTTTAATTTTCAACGGCAGGCTGATTGAACACTCTAAATTGTCCCTAGGTGTGATTGTGAGCACCAATGTTTGTTTGTCTATGTGTGCCCTACGATTGGCTGGCAACCAGTTCAGGGTGTCCCCCGCCTACTGCCCGAAGACAGATGGGATCGGCTCCAGCATGCCCCGGGACCCTTGTGAGGATCAGCGGATCAGAAAATGGATGGATGAACTTAGTAACATTTTACCTGCATGAGATGAGTCATGATTTTCACAATCTCCTCCATGGAAGGCCGCTGAGAGGGGTCTTTGGACCAGCAGCGCGTCATCAAATTCTCAATAGGTTTGGGTAAATTCTTGATCAAAGGTGGCCTTGTCCCTGAAATAGAACACACGTAATTCAAGAAAGGAGATTGGTATGATCGCGGAATAGCAAAAACACGTTTTAAATGTAAGATAAACTGATACTGAAATAATAAAATCAAAGTCTACATTATAATCGACTATCAAGGGAGTGGCCCAAAAATGTCCATATTGATGTCACCATCCTTCTGACTCACCATTGTGCACTGCCCACATAATACGGAAAGCTGGTCCTCCAATTTCATCAAAGGGCTTCCGACGTGTGACCACCTCCCAGAGAATTATACCCCAGCTAAACACGTCACATTTCTCGCTGTATTTGCTACCTAGAAACCCAGAGGAAAAGGATCACTTTCAAACAAAGCAAAGAGGTTTCAAATCAATATTGCTGTGAGCAATTGCTCCAGTGTTTGAATAACAAAAGGAAATGCCGCATATTTAAAATACAGTGGTTTGTGGTTTGTAATCATGCCAAAATTGTTTGCGCAAGAAAAGCTGATCTCAACCACACCAGTTGTGTGGCTAATTTCCGCTTCCACTTGTTCACCCAATCGCAGGCCGAGCAACTGCCCGTGTTGGATTTGAGATTGACAGCGGGAATAAATGCAGGGGCCTTCAAGTGTGACGGGCCCCTTGAACTTTGTGACCTTCGGCCACATTTCAGGCTTTAACGTATAAGAATTAACACCAAAAGGGACACACACATGAAGTGGAACAAAATTTGTATCGTATTTTAAAATATTTTAAGGAATAAATAAAAAAAAAGAAAGTGTGGTATGAAAAATTATTCATAGGTTTGATGGAGAGTGTTTGTGAACAGCAATTTTTTGATCTTTCCACTGATTCTCAATCGGATTAAGGTCTGGAGTTTGACGTGCCCATTCTAACATCTGCAGATGTTTCGTTTTGAATAATTTCCATTGTAGATTTTGTTTGATGCTTCGGATCATTGTGCTTTGCAGGCTCCAACAGGGTTTCTTCCAAAATGGCCCTTAGTTTGGCTCCAGCCATCATCCCACCAGTTTTAACTGTCTTCTCCTGTCCCTGCTCCAGACATGACGCAACCACCACCGTGTTTGACGCACGCGCGCACGCACGCACGCACGCACGCACGCACGCATATGTGTATATATATATATATATTTGGAGGGGGCTTGGCTTGGCTTTATATTTAATTTTATTTATTATTTAAAAATGTAACCAGATGCACAGAAGAACTCAAAATATTGATTTTTAATATTAAAAAAAAAAAACATGTTGATTTCAATGTATTTATTCCTGAAATGTGTACTGGCCAGAAAACCTTCGGTGCCCCACCTCATTCATGTGGTGGCCCCAGGCCACTGTAAATGTAAAACAACTGTTCTATTTACATAGTTTGTTTCCCGGGGAACCCAGGACTCCGGTTTGGATGAGAACAGATTTCTCAGTTGGGCACTCAATAGCGATCTTCATTTTCTCCGAAATATAGGATGTCATGTAATTGATGAAAGATAACACTTTGGTGGTGTTCTTGTTGCAAAAGTGTTTTACATCACTTAGAGCTCTGTCCCCAATCAGTGTTTAAGGCCCATCGGTTGACTTCATCTGGAATGTTTAAGTTACATAGATTTCAGGAATTTTATTTCAGGGAGTCAGTATATTGTGGAAATGGACCAAATCTGTTTTGAGTTGGATGCCCATGTTCCGAGTAGTTATGTATTTGCCATTAATTTTTGACGCAGTCATTGTCCATGGCTGCTCCATCCTTTGGGTTGAAGAGGCATTCAGCGCAGGCAAACCACACTCCTCATTAATTTGATGCTTTAAGTTGATGCTTGGTTCTGCCAGTTGTCTGTTGTCCTCTCTCTGTCGGCTCTTTTCCTGGCAAAATCCAGGGGTGGGTACTGGCTGATTTGCCATCGCATCAGTTTGAATCTATCTTCGATGTGGAACTAAGTAACTGTCTGTTAGCCTGCTCCTGTCCATTGTTTTGACATCTCTGTAAAATGGTATCATCCTTCAACTGTCGATTTACCACCACATACAATTTAAGGCAGCACATTTTTGTTTCCAATAGTGCCATCTTGTGAAGACGCTTTTAATAGTCTTCAGTGGAATCGAGAGGCATCTTGTCACTAATAGCAGTGTTGGCTGCGGCTGCCTATCTGAAAAAAATTACAGTCCCAGAGATATCAAAGTGTGTTGGTGTCACTGTTGCCATGTAATTAATTAATAAATAAACAAATCAATAAATAAATGGAGAAAAAGCTTATTGGCAAAAAAGATGTAAGCACGGGCGAGAGCTAGCAGCAAAAGCATCTGCATCGCGTTAGAGCAGGAAGCAGATATGCCATTGTTATCAGTTACTTTCTGCCTTTGTGTGACAACAAAACGACCAACATTTGACAAGCATGCTGTCGTCAGACAATGCTTAATTACAGTTTCCCAAATTTGGAAAAAGCCAAATACTTGCCTTCAAATACCTCCGGAGCCATCCACGCTGCACTTCCTTTGTTGTTTGTCATATGAGTCTGAATGTCACAGGCTGTTCCAAAATCGCATATCTTGAGTACGGTGCCACCAGCCACAAGCAGTAAACTAAAAAGGACAACGCACGAGTATGAACACACATAAAATGAGAAAAATGTCAGTCTTGAAAGGATGCATTCAAATGTGATTTGTTCGTTCTGTCTGTGTCCTATGTGTTGTGTTGTATAATTTTGTCATTTATGTTAACTGTTCTTTTGATAGGGGTGCGGGCACCCACAGCGGCTCCTCTTGTTTTCTGGTTTAAGATAAGATAAGAAAACCTTTATTAGTCTCGCAATGGAGAAATTCCCAATTCACAGCAGCAAAGTTATGAATGGAAGAAGTAGAACAACAAAATATAGGAGAGAGGAAAGAAATTTCATCTGTGCTTCGCTGTTAGCCAACTCCGAACCTCAACATCACACTTCTCAGGTAAGTTAAACAATACAATGTGCTATGGCAATGGTGAGCCAACGAACAGGTTAAAGTAGGCCGAAAATTTGATCTTCGGTCAAAAAAGGTTGGGCACCCCTGGACCACTATAATTGACAACTTTTCGTCTCTTTGGGTAGGCTGCACATCTCTATGGACCTGTTATATGAAGAACGCGTCCTGCCAACAGGAGAAATTGGCAGAGAAAAGGAACTGAAGTGAGGTGGATGCAGGTCCTTTCGAAAGCTGAACATCCCAACATCAAAGCAGCAGTCCTCAGCATCCTCTCTTCCGCTATGTTTGTGGAGAGGATCTTCTCTTTTTATGATGACTACGTGGACAGGTGTGTGAAACAAATGTGTTGAACTGATGAAAGAAAGGTGAGCTCAGTGTGAGACTCAACGACGACATGTCTTGCTCAGAGTTTTACTCTGCGGCAGTCAACGATAAACCGCTCCTCACAGGAGCAAGATCTCAGAGGAAATATAGATGGAAAAAAATAGGCTGTCTCCATATAAGGCGTCATTGAGCTGTTCATAAGTTACAGGATCAATGTTCTGCTTATTATTTATTGTTATCTATGAACTGGATACAATTTTAAGTAGGAACGGTTCCTGTTTGAGAGATACAGTGATCCCTCGCCATATCATGCTTCATTTATCGTGGCTTCACTACATTGGATTTTTTTTCCCCAAAACCACCCGCGATAAACGAAAATCCACGAAGTAGCGACCAATTAACATATACAGGTAAAAAAAATATATACACTGTAATTTCTGGACTATAGACCGCACCTGATTATAAGCCGCACCACTACATTTTTAAAGGGAAAAAATATTTTGTACACACATAAGCCGCACCTGTGTATAAGCCGCAGGTGCCCATATTGTAACATGAGATATTTACAAAGAAAGACGGTACACAGGCGGCCGTTAGAAAAGTCTTTATATAAGCCGCTTCATGAAATAAGCCGCAGAGTTGAAAGTGTGTGACAAAAGTCGCGGCTTATAGTCCGGAAATTACGGTATATATATTTTTTAAAAGTCTGCAAAAAGTCCGCAAACGGTCCGCGAGAAGCTGCAAAACAACAGCGAGTCACATAGAGCAACATATACAGTACTGTACTCCATGTATATTGAAAAAAAATATATATAGATTTTTTTATGCTTGAAAAAATCCGCGATGCACTGAAGCCGCAATAAACGAACCGCGAAGTAGCGAGGGATCATTATCAGTATTCAGAAAAAAATGCCGAATGACTCAGAGGTTTTGAACATGGCTGTATGCATGATTGGTTCCCGGCGCTGTACGCGTGATTGGTTCCCAGCGCTGTACGCGTGATTGGTTCCCAGTGCGACGTCCACCAATGACAGCACGAGTGGATTTATCCCTTGAGCTGATTGGCCGCGCATCTTCGCAGCCCCGCCCAGCACCTTCCCCTTGTGTCTCGTCACGTGGTTGCCTCTCTGATCAGTGTCTAGTTAAGCTGTGGACTCTGATCAGTGTCTCTTCACACTGTTGTGTTTGCTACGTGAATGGCTTGGGGGCCGGGGGGTGGACACGCTCGGGCAAAAGCAAAAGCAAAAGTGAGCGTGAGCGAGAGAGAAAGAGAGGATGTGATTTGGCTTGTCCGAAAAAAGCAGCACTTCTCTCTTTGACTCCTCCTCATCAATACCGATTAATTGGCTTATCATAAACACATCGGCTGAGCGGGGATAGCTGGCCAGCAGCTAGCTGGAAGCTAACGGTGGCTACACTGTCAGAGCGGCGTAAAGTGTGAGTAACACAAGTGTCTTTGTCTCTCTCAAAAGGCAATGCTGATGAATATTAATTACTGTACAATGTTTTATAATTAATGATTTAAGTGTACTGCTCTAGTCTTTGTCTCAAATATGTAAAGTATACATACTGTTTTACATATAAACATGCTGGGTATCCACATAAACTTACACAATAATTCCTAGGGGGGAGCCAACGCTCCATCGTGGTTTTTCACTTATCGCGACAGGGTCCCGGTCCCCACTAACCACGATAAGTGAAGGAACACTGCATATATTTTGTTGTTTTAAATTAAAGTCAATTTCTGGATAACATTTTCATGTGTTCATATCATTTGGAAAGATGCATCTTACCCGATTCAGGTTTAAATAGTCAAAAATGGTTTCTCCCACAAAAATAAAAAAATAAATAAAGCTTTAAGTTTGAAAACAATCAGGTCGGCCATCCCGTTTTGTTTTGTGATGACATTTTCCAAATGTGAGATACGGCCAAGTCGGTAAAGTGTTCATGTCACCTAGGGGTGTTTCAAGAGTGAAATATGATCAGGTGTGGGTCGTTTTTAATGTGTGTTTTCACACATTTATAAATGCATTTCTGTTTCTCCTCAGTTTGTGCTCAATCAGAGATCCTGTCCGTTTTGTGGATGGATATATTTTCACACATTTTTTTTTTTACATGGTTAACTTTCTTATTAACGTGCTCTAAAATGCTTGCAAATGTACAGTCGACCCCCACATGCTCAAGGTTCGGCATTCGCAGATTTGCATCTTCACCAATTTAAAAATATGTATTTTTTTTGAATTGTTTGAGGGATTGTAGGTTGGTTTTCTTTCCCTCCCATTTTTCATGGAAAACGTATATTGATTGCTTATCAGCAGTTTTTGAAGAATTTTGAATTCTATAACTATTTTTCCAATGCATTTCAAGGGCCGTCACTTGCGGACCTGCCCAATCGCCCTTCACCGTGAATAGCAGGGGTCAACTATATTCAAAGTTTGAAAAGACAGTATAGGTTTTTCACACATATATATATATTTTTTTTTTTTCATTGTTTTTGTTTTGTTTCGTTTTTTTTGCCTCATGACTTGCTGGCCATGTGAAAATGTGGGTCTCACTGTTCGAACCACTGGTATGAGGTACAATGAAACAGCAAATAATACAATGTGAGATGACGGGGGGCATACTTAGGTGGCTTGAGGTCCCTGTGGATCAGAGCCTTTGGTTTCATGCCATGGAGATAGGCCACACCCTGGGAACATTGTAAACACCAGCTCATGGCATGGGAAGCGGAGTAAGAGGGGAGCGGTTCAGCACCATGCAGCACTACAAACAAGAAAGTGAAGTCACGACCCTGACAATGACAGCAGAAAAACATAGGAACAATAGACATGCACAGGTCTGACAAAACACTTTCATATACATCTGGTGGATCCTTAATTGTTTCAAAAACAATTTGAACATACACCACAAAAGGAGTTGTCAATTAATAATTTAGGCTTTCCTACTCCATGCTGCTCCTGTCAGCAGCATTTAGATCACTTCAAAAATTTGATAATTGCAATGCATTTTTGAGGATATATTAAAGCAGGGGTCACCAACATGAGGCCAGATCTTGTAGCCCCCAAAACCCACCCGAGTAGCCTGCAAGACTGCTCTAAAATAGCTCAGGAGTGATGGAGCATTGTGATTTCCTAGCACAGTTTTAGATGTGATTATTTGAAGAGTTCCTGAGATTTAGAGAAAGTGTTGCATGTTCATTTTTATCTCTTTTTTTGTTCCAAAAAATCATCAATCCAGTGGCGTTTTATGATAGAGGTGACACGGGCAGCCGCGCAGCGCAGCATTGTCAGAAGTTATTTTATTAACAAAAAAAAAAAAAAAAAAATTAACAAACGAACAAAAAATCATTTGATGAGTTTCAACGGCTGCCCGCAATCACAATAGGCTGTGTGGTCAGCCGCTGACCTGAGTGGCTGACCGCACAGCCTATTGTGCTATTACAGATATTTTTGGTATATTTATATGTTATGGTTATCACCATAAGCCAGGTGGCCGATTTTGAGCTTTTGGGATCAAGCGAATGAATACATCCCATTGTGATTTTTGAGTAGCCGTATGTCTCAAGCATTCAAAAAGGTTGGGCCGATATTGAAGATCAGTAGCTTAATACACCCGCAGCGGCCATTTTTAAAGATGGCTGACATATATTGATGAAAGCGCAAAGTCCAGTCTAACTGTGTGCATGGACGGAGTTTTCTTATTGGTATTTTGGTATACTTTGCACAGGTAGAATTAGGCATCGGCGTTTGCGTCGTTGTGGGATGGAAAAACTCTTTTCCCCGACCAAACATAGCAGCATTACTCATATGCATTAAAATCAGTCACCCGAGTACCCAATTCCTAAAAGTGCGGAAACAGAAAGACTCACTGGGGTCCAAAAAACTGCAAAATCTCCCTTTGCTGATGATGTAGTAGGCCGTGAATGTGATGTGGACAATTGGAGACAGCCTTGCAACCACGACCGTGCATCCATGTGTGACCTCCACCCTTCTCAATTGAGAAAGGGGTGCTATTTTTTTATTTTTTTTAAGTTGATCATCCTAATCATTTTCAGTGAATTGGTGTCTACAATGATTCAGAGGAATTGTCCTGGTGTCACATTTCTGAATGAAATCTGATGACATCCACCACACACATCTGCGGAGAGCTGAATGTGTCTGCCTGTGCATCGATCCAACCAACATGGCATTAGACCACTGCGCCACGAGTTCGTGTTTTTGCCGAGTGAACGATCTAGTCTAATTTTAGTGACAAAATTTGCAGAGGCATCGGGGTGGTGGGGTAGGGATAGGGTGTTTTTTGGTGGGGGCACCAGAAGTGTGCCCCCACCAAAAAAGAAACCCAACCAAAAAAAAAAAAAACAAAAAAAAAAAACCACCCTCATTCCCCGGTTCGCCTTGTGACACACAGCGCAGTCTATAGACAGCCTTGCAACCACGACCGTGCATCCATGTGTCACCCCCACCCTTCCCAATTGAGATGGGGGTGCTATTTTTTTTATTTTTTTTAAGTTAATCATCCTAATCATTTTCAGTGAACTGGCGTCTACAATGATTCAGAGGGATTATCCTGGTGTCACATTTCTGAATGAAATCTGATGACATCCGACCACCGGGTCGTCCACTATAATAAATAAATATGAATACATTTCATGTTGTTTAATGCACAGCAATGATAACATTAAAATAAGATACATCGCTTTCTCACAAAAACTATCAACTGTCAATTATCAAATTACTCATTGTCATACAAACACTATCAAAGTTACACTTGAATATTGCACATGTACTATGAACAGAAACCGTGCTTTTTTTTTTGTTTGTTTGTTTTTTGTTTTGTTTTGTTTTTCCCACAAACCTGCAAGTCTGTACTCAGCAATTTAAAATGGCAAAGACCATTCGCTTGTTCTGCAGAGTGATCAGTTATGGAAGGGAGGGTTTTGTTTCCCAATCCAAGCATGACTGCCTGAATGAATTTGAATGTGATTTGACCATCTTCAATCACATTCAGCACGTCGACTGCGACTGAGTCGAGTGCTTCTTCTTTCGCTTTGTGCAGAGAAAAAGCACACAGGACTAGTTATTGAATCGGGTCTCCTTTTGGAGGAGGAAAGGAGGGAAATTGCTGAAAATTTTTAAAGTTGAGCTCATTTTTAAGACTTATGCACTGTTGGCCTTGAACAGATCAATGAAGCATGGTGTGTGCTTGTCAAGAGCTTCGCAGAAGTCCCCTTCAATATTTTTGCTGGCGATGCAATTAAACTTGGCAAAAACCTGAAAAACAGAGAGTGGGTGTAGAAAGAGTTTGTATTAAAATCAAAGGTGAAAATCAACTGAAAAACACAATGTAAAAAAACCGGCAATGTTATATTGAAATTGCATTTTTCAATTTGCTTTCCCGTGAATACCATATTTTTCCGCACTATAAGGCGCACCTAAAAACATTCAATTTTCTCAAAAGCCTTACTATCCGATGTGCCTTATATATGGATCATTATTCTGAATTCTTCGACATAGTACTTTAATTGTTCTGTAAAGCGCTTTGTTACAGCCGCAGCGGTTGTGAAAGCTCTGTGTAAATAAAGCTGTATTGTATTGTATTACCTTTAATATAGCTCCATCTAGTGCAGTGGGGGCCAACCTGCGGCTCGCGAGCCGCATGCGGCTCTTTGGCTGGTTCCATGCGGCTCCCGGGCTTTCACATGACAAGCGTCGAAAACACCTCGACGGGGGCGCTGCCATTCAAACAACAGGCGCCAAGCACTGGAGAATTCACGATGTCAGTTAATCATCAATCCCGTTACTTGATTGACATAAAGGGCAACCAGTCAGATGACAACTGAATCACCGCTCATGCGCAAACAATGGCACTAAGCGCGAAGATAGTCAGCGAATTACCTCTGATTTTAAGGCAGGGGTGCCCAATAGATCAATCGCGATCGACCGGGAGCCAGCGGACTGTTCCCAAGTCGACTGTGAGGGTTGGGAGTACGAAATGGAGAGGAAAAAACTCTGTGTGTCTGTGTGTTTCGATTTCATGTTCGGTGACAATCCAGCTGTTGCTCATCTTGGCGTGCGTGCATGTGGATATGTCCATGCGCTGATTGATGAATTGTGTGTCAATGTTTCTCTGTCCACATTATGTTCAATGGGGTGAAAATTGCGCTTACATGCCTTTGTCCTACTAATCAGGGAACGGATTACTGTCGAAAATTTGGATGTTTGGGAGGTTTACATCAGAGGATGTTGCTCGTCTTTGGGCCTTTGGAGTCTTTTGAGATTTTTGCTGATAAGGGCAACACAAATTGGATTGACTTGATTCGGCAAGATAACTTTGAGGCACAACATATCTGCATATTGCTGTTGATTACAACCCCTACTCTGATTACATACAGTACGAGTGAGAGAAAGGACATCACAACATTGTTGAGACTGACAAATGATCCAACTTGTAAACCGTAACTCAGACAACAAATCGGGGGAATTCTCACTTGACAGTTATGTCGTAGTGTAAACTCACCGTTGTACAGCGATCCTCCTTCAGCATATTCCATTACAAGACAGACCTAAAGAGGAGCGTCAGATTATTCCAATTTCTATAACGGCATTATTTAATCAATTCATACAAAACATGATCACAAGTAGGCATGGGCCGGTGTCAGTTTCTTGCTGTACGATAACCTTGAGAAAATAAAAATCGTGGTTTCACGATACTGCACTTAGGGGTCTAAAATGTATTGTTTTACATGGTTGAGTAATTAACACAATTTGACCCCTACATTTACCCATGGATCCATTTTCTACAATGGATCTGAGGTCAGGTGGTGCTGGAAGGAACTTTAAGAGGGAAGCCCAGACGTCCCGCTTCCCAGCTTCTTCTTCCAACTCTTCAGGATGGATCCCAAGGCGTTTCCAGGCCAGCTGGGTGGCAGTCTCTCTAGTGTCCTGTGTCATCACTGGGGTCCACTGCCAGTGAGCACCTCTCACCAAGGAGGCAACCAGGGGGCATCGTTAACATAGGCCCTAGCCACCTTATCTGACTCCTCTCAATGTGGAGGAGCAGCTGCTTGACTCTGAGTAACCGACCCATTCCTCTTCATTCACAATGGATGACTCGACTCTATTGATTATCATCAACTAGGAATGCACTGAAGTGAGAACTCTTTGCCAAGACTTGAAAAAAAAATGAGGATATAAATAGAAGCCTTTCTTATGTGGATATAAATCGGATATGTATTTTCGGTGACTTGTCAGATCCATTTGGCCGTAGAAAGAAAATAAAGATGTTTTGATGGTTGCTCACAAGTTTTTGCATTCAATGTATGCAAATTATGTGATTCACTACTTTTTTAATCAATAGTTTTCTCCAGTGTTTCACAACCTTTATTGAGCCAAGGCACATATTTCCATCCAAAAAAAATGTCACGGCACACCAGTTAGCAAAAATGATTCATAAAAAGTCAGTACGTAGCTGCACCTTCTGTCATCTATTGGAAGAGCATTTGGTTGTTCTGCCTATTACTGTAGAATCTACATCTACAGTGTCGATGGTGTGGGCTTATGTGTCCATCTGGCACCGCCATTATGAAAACTGCAAGTTCTTAGGTTTTACTTCAAGATATTTTTGATAAAAATAGCTTTTGACTTCACCAAATACAACCTCTGTAAAGCTGCAAATCGAACAAACGATTGATTCTTTTTCGTCCTTTATAACCTGTATGTTTTGAAACACTGCTGCGCATAAACATTTGGAACAGTACATTTTAACAAAATCTTTTTTTTTTTTTTTTTTTTTTATGAATAACACAAAAATACTGTTTTCCATTTGTGTGTCAAGTCCCCAAAGAAAATGATAGCAAAACATAATAACAAAAAATATTGGCCTGTATTTGTGTCGTCTGACCTCAGCATAAGTGCAAGCTATTGAATTGCACATTTTCACATACTACCTCACCACCTTGGTGCATGCTTGCCTTATCACAATACTGCGTTTGAGTCATGTTTTGTTGATAAAATATATTTTGGATCAAAACCAAAAATGAACATATGTGCCATTTTCGGCAAAAATTTTCGGTGCACTCCTATTATCAAATATAATGACCAATGACCAGAACAACACAACAATAAGTAATTTAAAAATAATTGTGAACTTACTGGATTACTGCAGGAGCCATACAACTTCACAATATTAGGATGATTTACCCGCGAAAGCTGCCGTAGCTGCAGACAGAAGAATACAAGTCAAAATTGGTAATATACTTAAGTTATACTAATAATTGATAATACAAATATTGTAAGGAAAATAGCAGCAAAGCTGTTTTTTTGGACTATAAGTCACACTTTTCTACAGTTTGTCTGATTCTGCAACCGAGACACAAATGTGACTTGTAGATATTAAAATTACAGTTCGGACGTAGGCCCAAAATCCTCAATTCCTTATCGTGTTGACTTTCTTTTGGTGGTTGCCAAATACTTTTGGTGTGTTACCACTGGTGTCCACCTTCTTACGCATGTGAAAAAGCATCGACAGTATTTGACACCCACCAGAAGAGGGTGGACGATATGCAAGAACAGGAAATAGAAGTTCAAGCTTTGGCCACAATGCGAAGCGGGATTCTCTTTAAGGTGAACAATTTATTGTTTATTATTTTACTTTATGTTAACTGTTTTGTTAAGCGCTTTGTTACAGCTGCAGCTGTTGTGAAAGCGCGATATAAATCAGGATGTATTGTATTTAAAACTGAAACAAACAACTTTTCCAAAGTGAGAGGCGAAGTTTCATCCAACTGAAACGCGTTCGCAGCAGTCAATAACAGGGGCGTTCGGAAAATCACTCTTGACGCTCTTACATCACTCTAAGAGTGTGTGCCTTGAGAAGCAGAGCACACTCGCCTACCATTCATTTCCAAACGCAGCCGACTGTATGTTACCGGTAACTGTTTCCATTTCTACTTCCAGATGCACTGGGCTCTGGCACTCCTTTTTTGCGGCATTTTGAGGAACCAAACAACACATTTGAACAATGCTCTGAGTTTCTAAACTGTCAGAGCGAATGAATGCGCACATACAGTGTATTTCTCAACACACCTACAATTTGGAAACCAGGATTCTGGGTGCGAGTCCTAACACTCCTGGACTTGGTCTCAGTTTCTGTCAAATCAGTTTCCCAGAAATAATGTGACCGGAGTGACTTACCGGTACATAATTATTGGTACCACTGGTTAAGATGTGTTGTTTAGCTTCTAATAAACAGTTTTTTTCTCTACACAATATAAGATGACCAGTTGTTAGCGCGTCGACCTCACAGTGCAGAGGTTGTGGTTTCGATCCCGGCTTCGGCTTTCCTGTGTGGAGTTTGCATGTTGTCCCCGGGCCTGCGTGGGTTTTCTCTGGGTACTCCAGTTTCCTCCCACATTCCAAAAACATACATGCAGGCTGATTGAACACTCTAAATCGTCCCTAGGTGTGAGTGTGAGCGCGGATGGTTGATCGTCTCTGTGTGCCCTGCGATTGGCTAGCAACCGGTTCAGGGTGTTCCCCGCTTACTGCCCGAAGGCGGCTGGGATAGGCTCCAGCAACCCCTGCGACCCTTGTGAGGAGAAAGCGGATCGGAAAATGGATGGGTGGATGGAGGATAAAAATGTTCCAAAAGAAGAAAATCCAACCTTTAATTCAAGTGGATTTATTCAGCGGCGAGGAAGGGGGATCTGACATTAAGAAATCCGTCTTTTACATCAAATCACTTGTGCCACAATTATTAATACTACTGATAATACTTTGTACAGCTCCCTTTTACCAACAAAACAACAACTAATATTCTCCTATAATGTTTCACTAGACATAAGAATATAGTAAGCGGGACCTTTGACTATTCCTCTTTGCACAATCTCTCTAAATCAGGGATATCGAACTAAACTTATATGAGTGCTGCTGAAGATAAGAGTCTGGGTGTCTCTGGGCCACATCAAGTATTAAAAAAAAAAAAAAAAGTACAACTCATCCAATCTTCTCACTTTTTATGAATAACACTTCAGCAGATCTTTTAAGGGTTCTTCAGAACGTGACCAAGAATGATGGCCAGGTCCTCTCTCTCATCTCCGTGGTACTTATCGTCCTCACATGGAGAGTTGCGTAATGCCATCTGATTACTTCAGCACAGCAACTTTCTCTGTGCTTTCAAGACAAAAACGTTCCATCTCCTGTTTTTCTTGAATTTTACTATTCTCATCCCCAAACTTGGGGTTGAGATCTGGGGACCCAGATATCTATAGAAGTTTGATTCCATGTCTGATGAATATTTTCTAAAAATTTCAGTATGCTTCTGCAACAAACATTTTATTTTTTTTAAGGCTTTTAACACATCTTAACCAGGGGTGCCAATTATCATGGAGGGTACGGTTTGATATGTTTTTTTCTGCTTCAATCATGCATTTTTTGACCAGGGCAACTTGGATTCTGGAGCAACAAACAACTTGTTCAGACTGCAGGGAAATGCAACCCAAATATGATTTTTTTTGCCCATATCTGTGATCAGTATCTGTATTTTTTTTACGAAATCTGGATATCTCAATTCCGATTTTTTCAAATTTGACCTGTGTCACTTTCATATGTGGTCCTCGATCAGATATGATCTGATTTTTTAAAAATGTGACCTCAGTCTGAATTCACAGGTCGCATGTGTCCGACCTATATATCGTCAAAAGCCCAATATGCACTTAGCGCAGACAGGAGAAACTGCTTGGGAGTAAGATTGACAGTTATCCCTGAATCTGCAAAGTGCTTTTGTGTAACAGTATTGACTTTATATTTGAGTTAAATGTTTGCCTACTTGAAACATGAAACATAAAGTGGACATTTATGATGATCGTAGTAATTCAGCCATTCAGATGATTCATTTATTACGCATGGCAATGACGTGACCCTTAAATGGATGAGGAGGTTAAAAAACCTAATTTCGATGCGGAGGAGGTAGAAATATTTTGATATTTCTACCTCCTCCCGCATCGCTCCTCTGTAGATCGGAAATGCTAAAAAGTGGAGGCCCTACACGCTGGCCCCTATTTAATCCGGTTAAACACGACAATGTGAGTATCCAACATTGAGTTAAAAAGATGCAACAGCACTCTAAGGTGTGTACCTCAACAATAAAGGCTTTTCTCTCAGATTCACTTTCAATGGTCTTGATAGCAACATCTTTGCCTTTCCACTTGGCTTTGCAAACCACTCCAAAAGCCCCTCTGCCGACTACCTGAAAATAGAATGTTTACAATGGGTGTTAACTTTGGACAATAGTAATAATATCACACTAATAAATGCACCCTACCTCCTCTACTTCAATGTCCTCATAATTAATTTCCTCAAATGGATATCCCGGAGGTGTCTCAAGCATGTCGGTGGATGGGAGCGACAGCGACATACTAGCTCACGTCAGCCACCTACTGTTAAAGGAGAAACATAGTAGAACAGACAGTAAATAGATATGTGCTGCGCCGCAGATATTAGACACACAACAGTGCTGCTATTGGGATTGGCCTGCCATCCCCTAATTCTATGCCTACGTTTCTTAAAGAAAAAATATTACTTAAAAAAAGCGAAGGGCCATTGTTTAAAACTGAGTTAGATATCAGAACGTTGGTCGCAAAACAGCAACTGTCAAACTAACATAAACAATCTTAACAGGGCTAACTGTTGCTGCAATACAACTGTGGCGAAACAGTTTACGACAAACTAACATTCACTGTACGTTGTCACAGAATCAACTTTTAGTAACACCGCAGCCTCGAGTTAACAAGTAAGCCGAGGCCTACAGTTCATTAGATGGCTTTTCAAAGAAATGTAGCTGCTGGCCTGGATGCTAACACAACATACCGGGGCTAGTTAGCTCACCAGCACCGGCCGTCTGGACATGAAGGTGTCTATTATTCATGAACAAAAACTTAAACGACAACGTCCTTTAAATAAAATGGGGTTTCATTGTCGCACCGAGAGCTAGACATAACTGGTCTAGCAGGACTGGTAAAAGTGTATTTTTATTCTTCACAGGAAATGATCCAACAGGAAACGAGTGTGCATTTCTAGTTCTTCCCCAGGACACTGAACGCAAGTTTTTAAAAATCTATCCTTTAAAAGAGGCAAGTCGAAATTTTTTAAGTAGATCTAATATTTTCATGCATTTTTTAAATTGCCCAAGCACTACATCCTGCATACCTACGTTTTGTCAAACATCGCAAAAGAAACCTCTTCGGAACACGGACGTACCTAATAGACGGACTACTTATGCCGCCATACTCACAACGCCAGAAATGAAGCCACCGGCGGCCATCTTGAGTTGCCATAATAGCACACCTGCACTTGAATACTGTATATTGATTTTTCCGCGGCGTTTTCACGTTATTTTCTGTCTCTAAGGTAAAAATAAGACATTGGTGCACGGTTGTACCAAAGAGTCTGGGAAAAACTCTGAAAGCACATTTCATTGGTAAGAATGAAGTTAAACATTTTCTTCCCATAAGATGTATCACAGAGTTCCATTTAAAGATCACTCTGCATCACGTTGTCAGAACTATGAACAATAAAATGAGAGCAAAATCCACCAGGAGAAAAAATTGCTGTGAAATTGAAACATAACAACTGTAACCCACGATGCACAGTATTGAGATAATATGAATGGTCAATGCAAATATTGAAGTTTGGTCTCTGTGAGACGCTCATTACACAAGAATCCTGGCATCAAAGATTGCACTGATAACAGTTTTCAGCGAAAAAAGTAACAGAAGTCATCAGTACCAAAAAGTGGACATTTTAACATTGCTTTAATTTAAAATATAACATGTTACACAATTTAAAATATAAAACGGAACATTTTATTCATTTCCTGACTTTTTTTATGGTCAATTTGACACCAAGCAAAGTCAGCCAGTATGTCACTTGATTGTCAACAAACCAGCTGTGTCCGAAGTCTGCCAAACAGAACTGAAGAGCAATTAGCAGGTTCAGTAGACTGAGGCTCGTCCCCAGGTACAGGATTTGATGGGATTTCTAATTGAGGAATTTCTGATAAAGATAAAATGTTATTGTCATTACTTGTTACTCAAAGCATTTATCTCCATCCATTATCTGAACCGCTTTATCCTCTCGAAGGTTGCGGGCGTTCTGGAGTCAATCCCAGCTGTCTTCGGAAAGTAGCCGGCGTACACCCTAAACTGGTTGCCAGCCAATTGCAGGTCACGCATAGACATAGAGTGTTCTATTAACCTTGCCATCCATGTTTTTGGAATGTTGAAGGAAACTGGAGAAAAACCATACAGGTACAGAGAGAACATGCAAACTCCACACAGGAAGGCCAGAGTCCAGAATGGAGAGCCGGAACTTTGTACTGTGAGGCGGACGTGCTCACCGTGGTCTTGTGGACGTCGTATGCCGAGGTCCGAGGAGGAAAATAACCATCCCCCTACTCTTTTTTTTCATCTCCCTACTCTTGCCAACCTCTGCACTCGCACGTGATCCCACGCCCAGCACCCCCTTCCCTCTTCGGACACACACACAACCTGTGGCTGTTTTGACTCTCAGTCACAAGTTGACATGACAATGAGGGTGCACACTCAACTAACTTGACATATAAATGAGCGGTAGTCTTGAAAATTGGCACATTTTGTGTTTACTTTATTTGTGTGTGCGTGTGTGTGTGTGTGTGTGTGTGTGTTGTTTTGTTTGCGCCCCAGGTGGTAGCCCACATTGCCTGCCCTACAGTAAAAACCGGTCCTGAGTGAGAGTGCCCTCTCCTGGCGAAAAGCAAGACTGCAGTAGATTTAAAACTGCTTTGAAATCTGACGCGCGTGCGCACACAAACAGGCACAAACGCAAACACACGAAGACTAAAATTCCATCTCATTTGCAAATTTTTAATGAATAAAAAATTGATGAATGCACACAAATATTATGGTGGTGATTAGACAATTCTGGGGAAATATGTCATCGGTTGAGAGTGCCTGTTTAGCTATAGATGACAGTTATGTGGGTTGGGTTTCCCCGACACTTTCTAAATGAGCCCTGTTTCTCTTTTCCCCCCCTGACAGATTCTCTCCATTCGAAAAATAATCGCTCACAAGGAGCAGATGATGCTGGAATGCATCAAAATGTTGAGCATTTGAAATATGTGAGGGAAGCGAGCATACATAGTTCAGAGAATGGATGCATTGATTATTTTAACCCTACATAAATAAATCTGAATGTGAGTAAGAATAAATGCAATGCAAGCGTGTAATAACGAGGAGCGAAGACCCGGGATCCAAAAAACCGACATCTTCATAAACAGAGAAAGAGGCAAGAATTTTTCAGTGGAGTGGTTACTTCAGTTTGCATGGCATTCTTTAGCATACTATCCAAAGTCAGGGTTTCATTCGTTAAAATTCACACATATTCAGAATAATGCTGATCACATTCAAAATCAACCGGGAACAAGTCTAAAAAAAGCAACTTTTTGCTGAGCGTAATTTGTGATATAATGCTATTTTATTTGCCATGGCTTTGCTTTTGTATACTATCTCAGAATCTACATGCACTGATTCACTAGCTAACAGCCAATCAGTGATCAATTGTCCCAACGGCCTGCGCCATTTTACATACTGCGATCAATGACTCAAAAAAATGAGAGTAGAGTTCCTAAATATGATGAATCAGTTGAAACCCCACCAACACAATACATTTCCAAAACATAAGCCCCCAAAATGTGCAAAAAATGTATTGCATCGTTAAAAAAAAAAAAAAAAAAAAAAATTAAATCCACTTTTAAAGGCGGGTTAATATCCCACAAAATAGCATAGTGCAGATTCTGATAGGCACAACCAGAATATACAGATATGCAAATTTACAGGTTTGTACCTACCTGAAAACAACTTGGGCCTCCAAGTATAATCCAAAATTTTGAATTCTTTCATTTGACATCATGAGGCAATAATAAACTTGACTTTGGTTTTTCAGGGTCCTTAAGGACAAATTTTTGGAAGTAGCAACCGAACTGCCACCCCACCCAAAAAAAAAAAAAAAAAAAATTGTTCATAAAATTTCACACTTGAAGATTAGACGGGCACTCTAGAAGCCCAACTACTTGAATGCAAACAATGAAGAAATCAAATTTCCATTCCATGTCCCCTTTATTATCATCTTACTAAAGCGTTTCATACCTGAACTAAAAATAGTTAAGTGGCTTTTCAAACATTCATGGCACTTTGCATTTGATGTGAACCAAATGGACTATTCATATCTGATAACATTTTAGGGAGATTTCATGTTAAGACATGATAAAAATAGCAGCACTTCATCGCGAAAAGGCAAGCGGAAAGGTGAGGAAAAAAAAAACTTTTGTTGTCAATGAAAGTATGTCTTGGAGATGGCTGACCTGCGCGTTTTACGGCCAACAGAACCCACTTACTCCATCACCGTTGCAATCCCTGCAGTGCAGTTTGCCCTCGTGCATTTACAGGTCTATGTTCAGCCCTGTCAAGCCGGAGTGCTAAACATGTCCATCTTACTTCCATTTGAAAAATATCGGCGAGCGAATCTCCTGAAAGGTGTGCTTCTCCATCTTCACTTCTCTGCCTTTGTTCATGGCGCTGTAATCACACAGGCGAGTGGACTTCATATTTATAAATCATTTATTGAGGAGCTAATGCATTGCACTCGAAGGAAGAGTGCCCACTTTGCCTGTAATTACTACCGGCAAGAGATACAGCATTGTTTCACATGGAAAACCCCTTTCTGTCTTTCGACTTTACTCTGCTCAATGATAAATATATTTAAAGTTTTTTTTTTGTGTGCACGGAAGGCTTTTACTGTGACACGGGGATAAAAATAGCAACCATTGGGAGGGGTGAAGGGCTGGATTTTTGTGCCAAGAAAAAATATTTGGGAGACGTGCATCACTTAATGTCATCATCTAATCTGAGTTTTGATCTCGGGAATGCAGAGAGGAGTTCAGGCAGCAGAGCTGGGCATGTCATGAAATTTTGCTGGACCGTCATTTATGATGATCCTGCGGCCCGGGTCGCCCATCCGTCAATCGTCACTCCGTCGTTATTTCAAGCTGACCGTCAACGTCATTCCATCACTTTGTTATTTTAACCCAATTCCGTCGTCGCTTAATTTCCGTTCGTGTTAGGGTGGTTCTGTTTATGACTAACAGGTGGTACTGAAGGGCTGTTCCTGCAGTGGCACACCTGTTTGTCATTGTGTTAGTGTTTCTGTTTAAAGGACTCCCTGCCCGACCCGTCGCGGTTGGATCATTGTGTTTTGTCATTGTGTTTGTCTTTGTGTCCGCCTTAGTTTGTATTTTTTGTTAAATACATTTTGTTTAGTCCACCCTGCTCCTCCCTGCCTCCCTGCTTTTTGGGGTCCTCCAACTACCATCACGCAAAGTGTAAACAAATCGTCACCACTATTTTACGACTGTAATGTAAAAAAAACTGTTTGCAAGGGTGACAGTGTCGTGGAAACTTGTATCATTGTATCAGCTCATCATGCTATCTGTAAGTGTTGCTATGAAAGTTCGGCGCTATGCTAGGTTGTAATTTTCCTGTATGTCAGGCTTTAACCCCTCCCAAAAAGAAAAAAATGGTTTAAGAGCGGCCGCACCCCACTGCTTGGGGAGTCGCTCCATCACAGATCTGTAAATGGTGTTTCTCCATCAATTATAGCTGAAATAAATTTCATCTTTCGTTGTCTTGGTTTCCCTGGACCACAGCAGTGGTGGGCGTGTCGGTAAATTTTACTGCTCTGCCATTCATCATTCGCTAGTGGGTGGCCGCCAGTCCGTCGTTATTTCAGGCTTGTCCATTCTGTCTGTTAGAATACATTGTTTGTCCATGGTGTCGCCCCTCCCTTTTGTTTTGTTTCCTTTTTCGGTGTGGGCTGGGCGCCTCCCTAATCAGTGCACCTGCATCCCCTACACACCTGCGAGTCTTTAGCTCATCAGCCACTTGCAGCATAAAAGCCAGCCTGAACAGCCATCTCTTGCCAGTTTGTCAGAGATCTTTCCTGGTGCACTTGCTTCTGCCAAGCCGT